GCAGACACCTGTCAGCAAGGTAAGCAGGTGCCTGCTCTGCCTTACCTAATACAGCTTCGGCTCTCCCTCCTTCGGACACATTGCGAAACGGCCAAGCGCGGGGGGGTGGTTCAAGAACCGCTCGCCCAACCCTGCGGCTCCAGACAGGTGGAGCCCACCAGCCAAGTTTTCCTAGGTGGAACTGAATCCTCATATTTGTTTTGCTAAGATAGGCCCTTGTGGTGGAACTGAATCCTCATATTTGTTTTGCTAAGATAGGTGATTTTAAGTAGTCCTGTAAAATGTAAAGCTGTATTTTTGTGTGCTCCTCCTTAATCTGTATTTTGTATAAATTTTGGTCTTTACTGCAGCAACACTTCTGAGAAATGCATGTTCCGGGTGTGCCCCGAGAACTCCTTTTTTTTTTTCTAGTAAATACACACATAGACATGGACTCAGGCATTTATACACACTGCTACACACGCACACACTACATACACACAATCACTCTGTCTATATCAGGGTTGTCCAAAAAGTAGCTCCCAAGATGTTGTAGAACTACAGTTCCCATCATAGTTTGCTTGTCTTTAGATTGCCTTTGGAATGGAAGCTGTAGTTTTAAAACATTTGGGGATCTACCTTTTGGGCTCTATATGTTTGTGTGTGTGTATATAAACAGTGGCGGGGTCGCAAAGGTCGTGAGTGCGACCAGACATTCGGTGTTCCAAGAGACGGCTGGCAAACTTGGGGCACTCCACAAGGGGGGTGCAAAAGCCACCCTGTGCTAAGGCAGAGTAGGCACCTGTCCACCTACTCTACCCAAATGTACAATGTCCCAGGCAGTGAAGCAAACCTGATCTATTTTCTCTGGTAGCATTGCTCCCTCACGCTCCCTTTGGTGATGCCGGGAGATGGTGTCACTCGGGTCCTAAAGGTCTCATTTGAGAACATTTCAGGAAGTGCAAGAAGATCAGAGCAGCCCCACTATACACCAGGGAGAGGATTCACACCAGCCCCCATAATTAAGGAGGCTGGGTGGGCCTAAAAACTAAAACAAAACATAAACATTGATTTGAGTGTGTGAGGGAATGTGTATGTGTGTGAGAATATATGTGTGTATATGTATGTACTATATGTGTGAAAATGTGTGTCACTGAGTGTGTGTCTAACCTAGTCCGAGGCTTCCTGATTCAAGCCTCAGACTGCAACAAATGTTCGTGGGTAGAGCTAACAGGCGTTGCATTCAAGACTTTGGGATTAAATGTTCATTAACAATTTGATCCCTTGAGTTAAGCCAGCACTCGAGGTCCTTGTAGCACCATAACAACCTAATTCTGATGAAGTTGTTATGGTGCCCCACATGTCCCTTTAAAAGCTCATCTTACGACAGATTGCTATAGATCCATGTTTTGATAAAAATTCTGTTTTTGTCCAGCTCTAATAATCCAGAGTCTTTCTAATGGATTTTACAGAAAGGTATACAATGTAATCACTGACATTTCATGTATTTCAATTTTTTCACAAGAAGCTATTTATTCATTCACAGAATGTTAGTTTGGTCCTTACTTCATGTGGTAGCTATGTATGTGTTTCAAAAATACAATACACATTACATTTGTTCTGGGGTTTAAGTATTACTGCAGCAATAGAGAAGATATATATCTGCCACATAAGTCTACAGATAAGACAGTGTCCACAAGGCACGTTTCCAGCCTCACTTTGGAAGAGTATATCACCCAAAATTGATTGCATCGAATAAATGGTTTGACAAGCTGAAATCTTTGCTGTTTTTGCAGTCAGAAAATAGGTGACAGTGCATTAACATGATTAGTCTGCCTCGATGCAATATGTTGCCTCTCTTTAAAATAACAAACATTTTTTGTTGCATCCTGATTGTACGCTACTTATATTTTCATGTATTCACAGTTTGTCCACGCTGGAGACATGTGTTTGCAGTATGTTATCTGTTTGACACATGGGTGTGATAAAGTGTCGATTGTCATGATTTAATCTGAAAATTCTAAGTGAATTTGAAGTTTTAGGTTTTGGTTAAAGCGTAGGCATAGGCAACCTTCGGCACTCCAGATGTTTTGGACTACATCTCCCATGATGCTTTGTCAGCATTATGGGTGTAACGCATTATGGGAGATGTAGTCCTCAACATCTGGAGTGCCAAAGGTTGCCTATCCCTGTAAGACAAACTGGAAAAAAAAAAAACATCTGCAATCAGCTATGTATTAAGTTGAGCTATTCTGGCCTAAAATTTGAAATACACTTTAAAACATTGATTTCCAAGCTATAGATACAGCATTTCTTTAATGAAAGCATAGTGCAGTTCAAGCACAGAGCCGTTTACACAAATATTCTGGAGGAGTGTCCAACCCTGTTTTTGTGTTGTGCTAGAGGCTTCCCCAAAATTCGGCCCTCCAGATGTTGCTGAACTACAACTCCCATGATTCTATGAATGGAATCGATAGGCTGAGAATCATGGGAGTTGTAATTCAGCAACATCTGGAGGGCCAGAGTTTGGGGAAGCCTATAAGCTAGACTTATCCCGGAATCCTAGAGCCATACAACAATCAGTATAGGCGCTATACAATACATACAGTGAACTCTGTATTCTCAACTGAATACAACTAACATTTCCTAAAGCGGGGGTCCTCAAACTTTTTAAACAGGGGGCCAGTTCGCGGTCCCTCAGACACTGCTGGGGGCCGGGCTATAGGTTTACCTTTTTTTTTTAAAACAAATTCCTATGTATAGTGAAACAGACACATAGACATATACAGACACACATACACATACTAACATACTTACAGACACAAACACGCATAAGGACATACACACACATACATACTGACAGACATACATACTTACATACACATACAACTTACATACACATACAACTTACATACACATACATACACATACATACAGAAATACATATACATACACACACATACATACTGACATACATACACACAACCATACATACGCACGCTGACATACATACTGATAGATAGACAGACACATACTGGCATACATACACAGACAGACAGATACAAACTGACATAAATACATACACACACACAGACATACATACTGAAATACATACATACAAACACACTGACACACACACACACACACACACTAAAATACATACATACATACATGCATACTGAAATACATACATACACACAGACACAGACAGATACATACTGACATACATACATACATACACACAGACATACATACTGACATACACATACTGACATACAAACACATACATACATACAGACATACATACAGATAGACACATACTGACATACATACACTCATACACACAGACACAGACAGATACATACTGACATACATACATACACACAGACATACATACTGACATGCACATACATGCATACAAACACATACTGACATACATACATACACATACTGACATGCACACATAGAGATAGACACATACTGACATACATACACACAGACATACAAACACATACATACATGCATACATACAGACAGATACATACTGACATACATACATACACACACAGACATACATACTGACATACACATACTGACATACAAACACATACATACATACAGACATACATACAGATAGACACATACTGACATACATACACTCATACACACAGACACAGACAGATACATACTGACATACATACATACACACAAACATACATACTGACATACACATACATCCATACAAACACATACACACATACTGACATGCATACATAGAGATAGACACATACTGACATACATACACACAGACATACAAACACATACATACATACATGCATACATACAGACAGACAGATACATACTGACATACATACAAACACGCACAGACATACATACTGACATACTGAAATAAATACATACATACACATACATGCATACAAACACATACTGACATACATACAAACACATACATACAGGCATACATACACACACACACACACAGACATACATACACACACACACAGACAGACATACATACACACAGCTAAATTTTCTTACTTTTTTTGCAGGAGGATGGCTGTGGCTGATGGGAGTCGGCGTGCCTCGCGGCCTGGCTGTGCCTCTCTTCCCTCCCGCGCGGAGGGAGCTGGGAGGAAGTGACGGCCACTTCCTCCCAGCACTGTTTTGCGGTTGCAAATTTTTAAAGGGGCCTGGTCGCGCTATTGCACGGCCGCAGCGCTGATCGGGCCTCTGAAGATACAGGGCCCATTGGGTAGCCCTGAGTGCTGGGGCTGGGTTCAGGACCTTGGCGGGCCGGACCCAGCCCGTGGGCCGTAGTTTGAGGACCCCTGCATTAAAGGAACACTGTAGTCACCAGAACAACTACAGCTTATTGTATTTGTTCTGTTGAAAAGAATCATTACCTTCAGAGAAAATGCAGTATTTACATTACAGCCTAGGGATACCTCCACTGGCCAGTCCTCAGATGACTGCTAGAGGTGCTTCCTGGGGCTGTGCTGCACAGTGTGCAGGACTGCCATTCAGTGTCTCCACCCTCTGCATGGAGACACTGAACTTTCCTCATAGAAATTGTCAAGGCCCCGCGGGCGGCTGTGAGGGGAGGATGCAATCCACTTGCAGTACTCACCCTCAGTCCTTCACCGTGGTCTCCCCTTCCCCTGCCTGTCGGCGAGTCCAGTCCTCCTCCTCGCCTCCCAGCGGCAGCATGTATAACGCTGCACGCTGGGAGCCCGCGCACTTATGCAAACGACGGAGTCAGTCACGTGACCCGGCATTAAAGACACAGTACCATAATCACAGTGGGAGGTGTAAATATCCCTCACGTGTGTTTGTGAATTCTGATTGGAAGTTATCCAATCAGAATTAAGCACAGGGTTTATATACTTACTTTTTCTGTCTCTCAGTGCCCTGTTGTGGTCTTGTGATACCTGTAGTGCAGTTTGCTCGTGTTTCTCTGTGGTTACTAATTATTTGGCTTGTTATTCCGATTTTTCTGTATTCTCCATTCCTTTGACCTCGGCTTGTTTCTCGCTCTCCTGTTTTCTGGCTCCCTTTACTTGGCTTGTCTCCTGACTATTCTTTGTGTGCTTTAACCCGGCCACTCTAAGTACTGGTATAGCACCCTTCCTCTCTGTGACCTGAATCCCGAATCGTGACAGAAATGCATTGATTCAATACAGCTCTATGAGGAGATGCTGATTGACCAGGGCTGTGTTTGACTTGTGCTGGCTCTGCCCCTGATCTGCCTCCTTGACAGTCTCAGCCAATCCTATGTGCAAGCATTGCGATTGGCTCAGACCACCACTTCTGATGATGTCAGCCAAGTAGGCAGATCAGGGGCAAAAGGCAGGAGCTGCAAACTAAAATAAAAGTAAGATTTTATTATATTTAGGGGGGCAAGGGAGGGGGCCAGGGGGACTAGATGGTGGTTTTAACATTATAGGGTCAGGAATACATGTTTGTGTTCCTGACCCTATAGTGTTCCTTTAATATTCATTATACTAAATCGGCACTATCACCCTCACGTAAATTGAGTATTTCATAAAGATATATGAAATACTCATTGATTGTGTTGGAATCTCAATGAAATTCCAATTCAGTCAAAAGATATACTGAGACAAATTAGGGACTGCTTTGTCTCAGTAATTTTCTTATGCCTGACACTTCTTGACACTGGGTGGAGCTACTGTTGTCTATAAGGAGTGTCAATTCCCACCATTGACTGGTTGTGCCAGTGAAGCTCCAGGAGCAGAAATGGACCAACCAGAAGATTATGGTGACGCCTGCGGGGGACAAGTTCAGGTAAATTAATCTCCCTTTGGCCTACTACCCCACTGGCCACTGGGCCCCGAGCAGTGATGTCACCATCGGGGGTCTTTGCAAATTCTGCAAAGTCCTCAGATGGTCACAGTTCCACTTAATATTCCATTCCCATTCTGATACTGACATCTGCTGGAAGAATTGCTTATTCATCAATGACAGGTGCAGCGATGTAATGTAACAACAGAACCACTCTGGCACAATAAGACTAATCTCCAAACTCCCATTGGGAAAACTAAAATCAATCTTTTATTGTATGTTCATGAAGAAGTATCTTGCATAAAGGGAGAAAAATAGTTGAGAAGTGGAAATTATCATTGTATGTAGCTATAAATGTGTTACGTGGCCATTCCTAATTGCCATGATATACAATGTCTCCCAACAGTCCTGAAATCAGGAGGACAGTTCCAGCTTTGGATTCCTGTCCGTCATCCCAGGTTTGTTCCTCGTAATATATCACCCTGTAATTGTTTCAAGACAGCTATTTTCAGTCATGATCATCACACAACAGGAAAACACAACATTTTTAAATTCCCAGCTAGCATTTCTCTTCTTCTTCTTTCTTTACCTCTCACTTTCTACACCCTTCTGTTTCTCTATAGCATTAAACCTTAAATTTGAAGGCATCCATATTTTATTCTACTGGAGTAGAATAAATGCATAAAAACGAAATTTGCCACTTGTCAGTAATATACAGGCTTATTTTGATCCTCTCTACATCCCGGCCATATATATTGTAGGTTGTGTAGCAATTCCAATGTAATCTACATTATGCAGCTTCTGCAATCATATTCTTCAAAGACAGTGAGGTTTTGTATGTTTGCAATGTCCTCCCGGGTTTGGCACACAATAAAACGTAAAGACTGATTAGGAGTCGGATTAAAATCTCTATCCCCGTATCTCCCAATAGCAGCTGTGAGCAGGGATACATTCTCCAATAAACGATTGTCTTCTGGACTAATAATCAGACTCGGCTCATCCTGCTCTTATAATCTCTTATCTAGCGTGACTTCCCTCTGAAAATACAAAGTCCTTCGTTTTATACCAGAAATACAGGAAGACAATATACCGACTTTACTGTTTGTTGATGTGCAGTATGTTTAAACAGAGAAGGAAAATGGGGAAAAAATTAATGGCCTGCTAGTTTAGCTGTTGCCTTCTTTACTTAACTGGCAGTTAATCTGCGCTATCTACACTATAGCCTCACATTATATTCCATATATTTCTATAGAACCCCACCCCCCATCGAGAAAGGTTTGCTATCTTGTCTTTGGTACACTTTACGAGCTTTCTGGAATGTGATTATAGGCATTAAAACATGCAACTGGTTATCCATTAAACAGGGAACTGTGGAGGGAATTTCAAGCTAATACAGTCAATTCTCATACATTTTTTAGTGAATAAGCCCTTTTCTATTACATTTCATTTTTCAGGTTTCATAGACATTCAATAATTTCTCAGACTTACCACCCACTCTGTATCTTGTTGGTCTGTTTTGTCAATCTCAAGTCTCCATCTCAAATAACAGCCTAGTAGTGCCCATTTTCACATTTTCCTGATCTTTGACTCTTAAATTCCAGCACAGAGAACTATGAGTGGCATACAAGAAGTTTGAAAACTCTACTACATTTGTGCTTGTGGTTAGCTGCACACATTAAAATCTGAACCATGCTCCCATGAGGTTGATTGGTGGGAAACGTGCATCTCAGCCCAAGAATGGTGTTAGAGGATGTAAGTGCAAAGATTTAGATTCTAGAACCAAGAAAGAATTCCTACGAAGCTCTGGTTGCGTTCTACTGTCTTCTAATAAGTTATGATGCAATATTATGATCACTTTGTACTTCATGGTGAGGCCCTGTCTTTCATTTTCAGATGTTTACATTAATACTCCTTGGTATGTCCACTTGGACCCTTAAACATGCTTATTCCAAGTATTCTTGACCACAAGAATCAAGAAACCCAACGCTTGAGGACACATGGCTACCATCAGTGGTGTATTTTGGATTTGTGCTGCCCTAGGCATGGCTAAATTCAGGAACCCCCTAAAGTAAATTTGCCTCACCAATTTGTGTGAAGGCCACTTTTTTGAATGACATACACTTACTGACAGATACAGAGTCATTGGCACACATACAGCCTTTGGCACACACACTAGTTAACCAACACACACTTTCACTGACAGACACACACTCACAGACACACACATCCTCACTGATTTGAGACACTCTGACAGACACATAAACATTCACTGACTCACAGACAAACACTGACAGCTACAAACACACTGACAGTTCCACTCACTCACTGACAGACACACAAACTCACAATGACAGACACACACACACACTCACTGACAGACAGACACACAAACTCACTTTGGGAGAGCTGAAGTGGATCTTGTCCCTGACTGCTGCTGGGCTGGCTGGGCTCCTTGCTGGCTCTGCTGGGGCAGCTGGCTCCACTGGATGTGCAGGCACTCAATGCAGGCGGCAAGGGAACTGATGTTATAAACAAATTGCATTATACTTACCCATTATAATAAGAAGATAGACCCACACACATGTCTATTATCACTGTACTGCATCTGTGATACTACACCAGAGAGTGCTGTATGGTTTAAATGACCGTGGGACTAATTTAAGCCAAGAGGAGTGAAGAAATATGTTAAATATGTTCTTAGTGTGTAGAATCCACTCTCCATTTTTATATCATTTATAATCTAAACATGCACATAAGTTACAGCTACAGAGCTACCTGGATGGATATATTGTCACTTGTACTTCCAAGTGCAATCCAGAAAAGGCCTTTTGCGACATTACTTTGTTAGTAGCAACCCTTTATCTATTTGAGTGCTATATATACCAGAGTATGCAGAATTAACAGAACAAGCTACTGTGACATTTTAGCCCAGATGCTTGCAAACATTATTACTGTAAGACTAGAGCATTAGGGGAGATGTAGTCCACAACATCTGGAGTGCAAAAGGTTGCTTACCCCTGCAAACAATTAACAAACAAATACATTAAACGTATGTACATTTACATATAGCAATCTTTACATTAACATCCTGTGCTTCAAGAAAATTTTATAACTGTTTTTAAAAGAAAAGCGTTTTAATTGTGGCATTGTCACATCCCATTCTATAGTGTCCAGTAACTTAATTAAGCCTAGAATTAAAAGTAACTGTTCAATTGTATGGGGTTAAACAGCAAATTCTCTGGTAGCCAGGGGGCAAGTGAAGCAGAGGAAATCTGAGAGATTGGACCCAGCTGACACCATCATCAATAACACTGACAGCAGCTCTGTCACAGGAGGTAGAAGTCACAGTTCCAGTAATGAAGGACTGCAGGCCACAGGCTCTTAGTGAACTCATGCGTCTAATGGCTCACACAGTTGCAATGATCGAAGACTCAAAAGTCCTTTACAACTCCAAAAATGCTATTTCAAGAGGAGAATGAAGGAAGAGAGGGTGAAGAGAAGCAAATTTAAAAATAGCATTTGACAGGGGAAGAATAATCTAGTTTGTCCTTTCCTAGCATTTGAAAGCCTCAGGACCTCTGCGATCTTTGGGTTTTTGTAAAATTCAATATAACTTGATATCTATCTATCCTTACCCTGTTAGGAAACTTACTGCGTTGTGTAGTGTGGCATTCTGAGTAGAATTAGGTCTGATGTGACCCTGTTAATAAAAGGAATCATACGTTCCTTTCAATTTCTCATTCTACAGCTCTGTGCTACCATAAGAGGATTGGGGTTATTCAATAAACCTTGAATTATAGAGAACCCAGTCTGGGTTGGTCCCTCCCTCCTTTGGTTTGGTGGTTTAGTTGTTGGCCTTGATTAGTCACAGTGGCGGGGCTGGTGCAGAGAAGGAAGGGAGAAAATAATTTTCGGTTAAGTTAAGAAGAGTTAGGGACGTTGGTTGATTTGTTCCAATTTGGTTGGTTATAATGTTGGTCGGTTTTGAGACCGTCGGTGGATCAGAACCCTGTGGTTATAGCAGTATCCAGGTATACCCCTACCAGGCTGATGTTAATAATTATGTTGCACTTTATTTGTTTATATTTGTGTGTCGTTACATTGTAATAAAAATGGATAATACTCCAATCCGCGGTTCCGCATATGAGTCTTGCTGCTATGACTTTATATTTTTTTGTTTTTAATTTTGTATTTCTCTTTATTTTCCATGATTTTGTCTGCAACGTTCTTTGACGTAGTGTCTCAGATTGTCACCTTTAAGCTTACACTGGTTAATTCCTAAACGGCCCTATTGAAAACAAAAAAGAGAAGAAAGGAAATATAACTGTACTAATGGGGGACCTGCTTATTCCTACTGTTGCTGATTGTCAATAAAAATGTAATTTATAAAAAAAAATGTTTACAATGTGGGTCATTGCCTTTATGACATTGGATATGTTTTGCTGAGGTATGGTTGGGGGGCTGAGCAATGACTTGTAGTATGTCAAAAGTTATCAATAAAGCTGTTGACGTATTGACTCATACATTCAGAGTGTCAGTGTTTGATTGGTGGAGGTAGGGGTGAGGCGGGGGGGGGTATGGGTTCGAGGTATACAATTTCACTTGCCAATATGGCAACAACGCACCTGTCACAACCTAGCTGATGTGTAAACGAAACGTTTTTCAACTTCACATTTATTTTGATCTACTCGGACTAGGTACAACTTGAAGTAGACAGGATAGCCTGGGGTCTTTCCTTTTTACAATCCAAATGGGACACTGGCAAGCTGACAGTATTAGTATAATTTTACATCTGAATTCAGAAACCTTTGCAAGTTGCGTTCACATGGTAGAAGTGTGAATTGATGTATATATGGAGTGTACGGTATGAGGCGTATTATGAACATAATCAGAAATCATGAAAAGGAAACATTTGTTCACATTAATATAGGAAATTAAAATTATTGCCTGAATTAATGATAAATCCCAGCATTCAGCACAGCATAGTTATGATTCAGTATAGTAAGTGGTCCTTATCAATTTCCATTGTATATTCACAATCGAGCAATAACTCAAAGCCAAAGGTGTTATTGTTAAACTTGTTTGCAGTGTGGTATCAATATAATTGTTTTTATCCTAAATAAAACACTGCTGTGCTGGGGTTATGGCTATTTGGTTGGATTCAGGACACACGGGATGTGTGAAGTAAGTGTAGTCTCCGACTCATTTAAATTATTCAAGAGTTGTGTCTGTTGACAGCTAATTAATTTTATCTATATTTGAGTTCCTGGTTTAAAATGTCTCAGTATAATATCAAAAGCAAAGTACACAGTAAGACCATCCAGTAATAACAGCAGACACGACAGCTTCACCACTCCAGTCTGAATTTAAAAGCATCATTGTACACCACTTATGGAGAGAACTATTATTTCCTCAGCTAATGCGTAACAACTAGAATATTGCTCAAAGACTACAACACTCAATTTAGGCATAAGATATGTGTTGACACAGGAGCCAAAGTAAAGCACTAATGGTCTGAAAAAGAATATCTAATAAACTCACATTATTAGAAAGACAGAACCACCATTGTATATTGGTGAAACCTATTTAAAAAAATCTTAAATAAAAGCTCCATCAGTTAAAGTATTTAGGGTCAATTAATGGAACGTAGCCATTTATTTCTGCTTTTACACTAATCAAGTGGTACTCTTCATCTGAAGAGTGATGTACAGGTTGCTACGTCTCTGCTTTTCACATAATGATTGACTTGAATACCCACTCATGAACCTAAAACACTTAAAGAGAGCTTTGCCCATCCTCTTTGCTTTTTGAAATCATTGATGCCCTTGTGTGTAATTACCTGCTACTTAATCCATTTCAGGAACCTTTGTATAAGAGCTGGTTGCAAAAAGACTCACAATTGAATAATTAACCTCTGGCACGTGACATTTCCTTGGTGAAAGAGGCTAGAACCCTAAACAATAGGAAGTCATGGAGACCTCCAATGAATCTCCGTCAACCATTCGCTGTGTCTGTAGATAGTGGAGATTTATGGGATTTGTAGTTCAATAAAAAAAATATATATTTTACCAGGCATAAGAGTTGTTTTTTATATGGTGGGAGTTATTTTTACAAAGCAACGTTGGGAAGTAATCATCTTGAAAACCATTGGAATGTTCTTGCCGATTGTTCCCATTTCAGAACTTTGCCTGAGAAGTGATGTCTATATGTAACCAGAATTGTCTCTAACACCCAAATAGTTAATAATACAATAATAATTGTTATAATTAATGGAGCGTCCATCGTGCTACTTAGCCAAGACCACCAGTAGTAGTCAAACTAAGGACATTCGAAGCATTTTTAACTGGACATGTGTCAGATGCACCTCCTGAAATCTCTGATGTTCTGACACTGATCCGGACTGTCAAGGACCATTGTAAGGTTCTATTAAAACTCTATACAGTCTTCTGTACAGCACAGACATACGTGACACTTCACAAACCCACATGTGTAGTATTTGTTTTACTAGATTCATAGAGAATCCAGGGATTGGTTGAAATGTCTCTATCCTGTTTGAAGTGGGCATAAAAGATGGAGGATCAGAACATGAGGGTTTGCAGCATTATTATTTCTTATTCAAATATTTTTTCTTTGATTATTAATTTGAATTTGTTGTATATTTTCTTATAGCCTAATATCCATAATAGGCATAACATATTGTGGATGGAATATCCACCTTGCTGTGTCCATTTAAGTACAGTAAAAAATAATCTTGGATTCGGTGTCCTTTCATACAAGCGCAGCTTTAGGACAGAGGGAAAAAAGTGTTGCCAAAAAGATATGATGAGAAAATTGAAGATGATTGCCATGATAAATGTATCTTACAAACACAAGCGCTGCCAGAAGTCAGTTCCAATATGACTGTAGTGTTACAGTGAATTATTGAGTTCAGCTTCTAAATAGTGATGTTTAGTCTTCCTTAGAAATGCCTAGATGATATCATCAGCCTGACAAGAACTGGCGGGTAGGTTGCATCTAGCACAAATGCTCAGTGATAAGCCTAATACATACTATTTATTTAGTATATCAGGCGGACACACCATGCAGTATGAATGCACATGGGACACAATGCAGATATAATGCAGTATAAGCATTTACATTGATTTAATGGGATATTTAAGACGCAGAATTATACATCACACGCCAACAAACGAGAATGTGTCCGTCATAATAATGATATGGTTGTAACTCATTTGTGGTGTGCGTTGTGGTCTTTAATATTATGTAAAGACAATTCAAGGTCTTCAGGACATACTGGAAAACAATAGAATTATCATTGCATTCATCCCGATTAACATTTTGGTCATGTTCCCCAAGGAAAGAATGGGAAACGGAAGCCCAGAAAATCCCATCCATAAGAATGTACGCTTGATGTCATTAAGGACGTCACTTCTGGGCATAAATAAATATCTGAAGATCTATATTTTATGCAGATCTAAATCTCTTTTCATAGAAGAATTTGTCATATTGTTTGATTTATATGTTGTACAGAGTATAATGTTCTGGTTTTGCTTTAGGTCGTATTGCAGAAACAATTTTATAAAGTCAATATCATCCATTAACTTCCGTGCTGTCCTGTGGCTTGCTCTTCTTGGATATAAAATGATTTTCATGATCCACAAATTCCCTTTTCCCAACTTCTGCATGTGCAATGGACTGTGGTGGCTGATAACCATCCTCTTGGGGATCGAGAGGTAGTTTAGACAGAAGGATACAAATGGAAGGGAGGTTTTTTTGCACAGTAAGGCATGGGGCTGGGTTCTGAACCCCTGGACCCTTCTGTTCCCAGACTTCTTGTAGTGTCTTATATTGCAACTTTGTTATCTGATGGAGACCCCCAATTTGTCTTTTAAGTATTTCTACGCAGGTCACAGCTTTAGTCACTGCGCGACCATGGGCACTGAAAATTATCTGTCCACCTCCTTTGCACCCCATGTGGGCGACTGCGTAGCCAATAAGATTTCTGATCTTACTGCCTTCTTTTACTTTCATCTGCACCACATCTGGACTAAGATCTTTAAATGGTAGACACGTTCCGTCCTCTTCATCCGTTGTCTGGATACGGCGGAAATTTTCCATCCTGGACTTTGAGAGAAAAAATATTTTAATGACAATATGCTTAGTAATTCAAAGCAGCTCTCCTACCATCATGTCTGTTACAGGAAATGGTAGTGTAACTGATGGCACTATAATATTAAAATGATAATCCAAACACCATAAGCACTACAGCTTTTTGTAGTGGTGATGGTGTTTGGAAGCTGTCCATGAAAACCTGCTTTTTAAATCATTACCATTTCCATGTTTTGTTTTCTATTTTAAAACTTGAATTTTGATGATTAATTTAGATGTTTTGAGATCCATATATATAAACTAATATCCAACATTGAAGTAATAAAGAAAATAATAAAGAAAAGGAGAATAAAAAATAACAAATAGCGTAACGGTATGTCTCAATTGTTACAAGTTATTTAAGCATATGTGCGATTAATAGCAGTGTTTTAGGAAGATATAATCAGATAAGGCTTCATATTAAGATGTAGTGGCTTGGAATCCAGCGTCCTTCAATAGACATCACAAGATGAAGTCGGTCTTCCGCATTCATCCTGACGCTTCAGATTGCATAGCCATGTATGTGGGCATGTTCACCGTATAGCTCTTGTATGTGGACAGCTGTCTGTGCATGAGCAATGATGCTTCCCCATAGGACATCAGAGTGTAAGGGATGGAGCCTTGGCAAAGAAGATTAACATAAACATCACTTGAAAGTCAAGGATTTAAAACTTAATTGTGACGTGAATAATAGCTTCCTAGTACCATTACAACTACACTTGCACTGCAGTGGTTATGGTGATAACGGTGTTCATTTAAACAATAACCAAATGTCTCTACTAAAATTAGGTTTAACATCCCTTACTGTCCCAGGGTGGGGTGAAACACAATGTTTAGCAAGTAAGTCAGACAAACATTGAACAGGATTATGGAAAACAACATAAATTCAGTTTATCAAAAAAAGGAAAAAAAACATAACATCGGTTTGCTACCTTGTTTAAATATATATTCAAAATCATAGTGTAAAAATTTCAGCTATGTAAACTAATTATTCATGAATAAAATAAAAAAACATGATGTTTATAAAATTGTTTTGTTGTCTTAATCCATACATACAGTTTCAGTTCTACCATAATAAATTAGACTTTTTTTTTTTTTATGTAGTGCACACTTGTGTACCATGGTGTTAATAATAATTAAATGTAAATCCAACTCCATGTATTGAGATTATTCTTTTTCAAAAGCGCCAACATACTCAGCAGCGCTGTACTTTTAAATGTGAAAACTCTTGCGGGAGCTAATGTTAAATCAATGTGCACTGCAATTGAGAAAAATAGCAATAGCTTTTCTATGTAAACACTGAGACACCTCACTAATCACTGTGAATACACCCATTATGGTTCAATCAAATTAATGTACGGTAGGTTAGCTAATGCAATTGCTTGTTTAATCTGTCCCTTAAAACCTTAACCCTTTGCGTAAATGCACTGCTGGTTAGTCTGAATTGTATGGGAATAAAAGTACATAGATATTAAACTGTGGAAGACAAAAGGACAGACAGATTCACAAACGCTGAGCCATGTCGAAAAGGTAGCATGTACAGCATGTTTAGTGGACATGGTCCTTTTTTGCACCTATTTAAGCGAGTAGGTTTTTTTTGTCTGGATTCCAAATTGTAGTTCTGAATTCTGTAATTCCGAATTCAGCTGCTGTAGCAAAATTTAGGCTAAACCAGCCATGCCATGGCTATAGGTGAGTTTTAGAATTGGTCCAGATCGGCTAAATTTTACCATTCTGATTTCAATTTGCTACAATTTAGAGTTTAGTGGATAATCCCCTGCCAGGCATCGTTCAGTCGTGTCTCTGCTTGAAACGCATAGAGTCTGTGCGAAAGCCTATCTCAATCTTAAAATGATATCCTTTGCAATGAAAGTGTTGGCGAGATGGTATGATGAGAAAATTGAAGATGATTGCCGAGATAAATGTATATTACAACCACAAGGGCTGCAAAAAAAATAATAATCAATTTCAGCGTGACTTTAGCTTTACTGAGGAATGTGGCTTTATGCTCTATAGAGCGAGGGTTAGCCTTCCGTAGGACTACATTAATGTATCATCAGCTCGAATGGGATAGATAGGCAACTTTTTATGAAGACGAGTATTTAGCATTGAATGTAACAACCTAGGAAATCATATATACATATATATATATATATATATATAAACATACGCACACGCGCAGACACACACACACACACACACGTACATTTCTTACAGTGTCTTTCTATGTATGCACACCAACATTCCACTATATAGTATATTATTATATTTCAATATAGGAAATATAAGCAAATACAAGGCAGGTGTTAGCTTTCAGTGTGTACATAGAAACTGAGCTAAAACTATGCAAAGAGCACAAGATGGAATAGCAGGAACAGCTATTGGGACTGCAATCCCTTCTGCTGCTCAATTTGGGCCCCAGAGATTCAGTTATAGCACTAGGAGACAAGTCTAAAAAAGATTAGTCTTAAACAAAAATAATTAAAATATATTCATTGTAACTTCATATGGAAGTTTACAAAGCTAGATCTATTAAATTTACAGTTATACTTTCTACTTACCTGAGTTTACGATCATCTATTGATCCGTCACAGATGACATTAGCCTCATCAGTAATGTCCCAGTCAGTGAAGCCCTGTGTATCTTTCTAATCGGCCTTCAATGGAATCATCAGGACTTTACCGAAAGTTATAGGATTGTGGAGACCAAGCGTTCATGGCAACATTGCTTTTTGATTGTTCAGCTAATACTTTTTGTTCTGGTTTTCTTTAGATCCCTTGTTCTCGCTGCCAGCCTGAAAAGGAACCTATTTTTGTGTCTATGTATCTCTATTAACGACGAGCCTCCTTTGGACAGCAAGCTGGTGGTTCCCTCTCAGCATCTTCCAATGTGACCTACGAGATCCAGCTTCCAAGTGTCACTTGTAAGCCTGTGCTCCCTGCACTGCGAGCCAAACAGCTGTGTCTGATGCACTTCGAGAGACTCTCCTCCCCTCTCTCGCATACTCCTCTCCACACAGTGGGCGTCAAGAAGGAGAGGCAGCAGGACCGTTACTTCAATCCAAACACTTCGCTTCTGGAAAAGATTGTAAAGTATTAACCGTAATTATACCCCAAGTCTCTAAATGGCTCTAGCTTTGCTTTATAATCATCTTGTCTCCGCTGTGTTCCCACTATCTTTTCTCCTTTCAGCTTTCCCATCCTCCTCGAATATATGCCTTTCCTTATCTCGCTGCTTCTGCACCATCTTCAATCTGTTCTTAAGTCTCGCTGCTAAATGAATACTTGTCTCCTGTACAGACACAGACACAAACCTCTTATAATTTCTTCTCTAACCCGTGGCCCCTTCTGTTCATTATTTCGATATCTCTCCCATATTCTCTCAAGTTCTTGCACATGACATTGCTCAGTCGGACGATATTGTGTTTGAAAAACATTTTGTTCCAATTTGTTAAATAGCAGATTCTGGAAAAATGAAGAAATAGAATGTTGGGTAGAGGGTTCAAAAGACTTGCTGGTTCTTTTACAGTCCTACAACAGTCCGCCGAGTTAGAAAGGTGGAAGTCATCTATTTAGCATTCAAACTACTGAAATTTCTTAGTATTCATGGGGTTAGTTTTTCAGGACAATGCTCATTTGTGAAATAGAAGTGAAGATGTGCATGGCGGAAAATCTAAAGATGGCTTTTCGTTTAATCTCAACACATGTGGTTTCATGAATGTTAATATATACAGCTGGTTCAATGCAGGCTGATTGAATGCAGATGCTGAATTATCTGCAGGAAATTAGTTAGTTTCCAGTGCTATGATCTATAGGAAACATTAAATGTAGGGATGTCATAACTTATCTGACATTCTGCCGTGTCCACAAAGACACATACATTGCACTGGGGCAAAGGTGCACAAGTGCCTGCTCCAAGTGTGTCATATAGTCTATGATGTCACTCGTTACGTTAAATTAGCTCTATGTCAGATGTCACAAAAGGTTGCATTGATGAGTACAACATAACAGTTCTGATCTGGAATGTTGAGAGGGCACTCATAAAAGGGTTACTGGTTACATTGTTGGGTGAAACCATCATAGCCCAAAGTTCAGATTCATCTGCATTGCATCGGGACTGCTGGATTTAAACCTAATATAGCTTGTGAGATATGCAGGTAAATGTTTTGGCTTGACAGGGAGATGTTATGGACTGTTTAGGATTCTATGGAAAAGTAAAATAGGTTGCAGAATATCAACAGGAAAAGAAGTGTAGCGCTAATTTTAAAGGTTTTAAGGTGTCAAGAATACTTATCCGATTTGTGGATATTTCTAATTTAAGCTGAAGTATAACAGTCGGTGTAGATTCGATATTTCACTCCCAGTTTCTAAAAAGATAAAATATACACCATAGTGCAGACCAAATATATCAGGAATAGGAATAAAAGAAGAATATGTTGTGGACACTCACAAACGAGGAGCTATATAACCTAGCTCGGGTGTGGTTCACGTCGGGTCTGTTTAGGCGACCCACCCCTATAGGAAGTGAATATCCAGTCAAACATAGAGCAGTTAAGGATTACACTCCCTCTTTATATAGATGATACCGGCAACCAAAGTAAAATAAAGTTTAATTTATTAATACACTTTAAAATATACAAATAAAAAAGGAACGATTTCCATATAAAAAGTCCCAGAATGCGTTTCACCACCTCAAGTGGCTTCCTCGGCAGGGAAAGAATTAAAGTGTCCCTCTGTTTGCCGGATCGTGTTTATATACCCCCTTAATAGGGGGATAATCGACTCATATGGAACTGCCTTGGCATCACTTCAACTAATTATGGAGTATGCAGTGGTCCAAAATGCCGTGGTACCCTGCTGAGGAAGCCACTTGCGGTGGTGAAATGCATTCTGGGACTTTTTGTATGAACATTGTTCCTTTTTTATTTGTATATTTTAAAGTGTATTAATAAATTGAACTTTATTTTACGTTGGTTGCCGGTTGCCCATATGCTGATTATGTGCCCCTCATTCGGGAATATGTTCCCACCGAACAGTGTTCCTTTCAGATGAATATAACCAAACGCAGGCAGAGATGGAAGTTCAGCGGTGTTCGGGCGGTCGAGAGTCCGATTTTAGTTGCATGCACTCGACGACCAAACACCACTGCCTGCGTTCAAGGTTCAAGATGGCCACCACCACATGTTCGTACATACGAACGGCGACCACCCAGCCGACCACTTAGAATGCTGCGGTTACTAGTGTTAATGAAGTGTTGACAGGGGTGATAGAGGTTAACAAGCAGCACATGCAGCATACGGGTGGTCTGGTAGCTTGTGGTTTTGTTCGGTATTTGAACAAAACAAGAAACAGTTTTAGGCAAACACGGTATACCGAACGAACTGGAGAATGGAAAAGAGCTTTAATAATCCTGGGAGAGGGTGGTCTGTCACAACCAGCATGAAAGTAATAAAACAAACAAAAAGTAAAACAGGGCAAACAGAACCCCAGGGAGCACAGTGGTAAGATTAGGTCACACATGACCCACCTAACTGGATTAGAACCAGTCAAGAGCATAAGAGCAGATATGTGAGGGCTACCATGTTAAATGTGATTTGTGAATGTGACATCAGTTATAACAGTGTGAGTAGACAGTGTCCCTCTGAATGTAAGGATCAAGGGACTTGGAACCTTGCTGGGTTACTGAGGAGTGAGCGGTTTAACTGATAACTTAAAAAGGACACACATTATTGCTGATGCCACTTAATTTGTTTGCCTTAAATAGATAAATAATGCCAGCCTCTAACTCAGTCTCTTTACCAACCAGTAAAAAACAGCAGAAATCAACTTAAAATTCTTGTCGTGCATGCTGCTTCCAATTTAGAATGCATAAAAACCTTGCTGACAATCAGGATAATCCCTCATTATGCAGCCAAGGTGTGTCGCTCATGCAAGGCATCAGTTGATGAAGTGGTGGATCTGCTGTTGGGGTTCAGATAAGAGAGGTCTCTCGTTCATTTCAAGCATTAACTCTAGGCACACTCTTAGTGCACCTGCTGATTTAAGCACAGTCATCAGAACCGCTCAGGTTCACTAACCATATTATTTATTAATATCTTATTAATATATGTGCTGCCTTAATAAATTGTTAGATAATATACCAAACAACTTCCCCCCGAACAATGTGTATATAAAAATTATTGAAAATTAAATCAATCCCAAAAACTTTTAGTTTTTTTACATGTAGAGAAGCAAGCTTCTATTTCAGAGAAATATTCTCTCTCCCTGCAATTTGACAGAGGAACTATAAAGGACAGGCCTCTCCCTCACTCACAGTACACCTGCCTTTGTAGATTAAACTTCGATGCTGCATTCTAGAAGACATGGAGGCGGAGCTAGATCACCTATTAGACAGACATGTCGGGCTTAGACAGGGAGAAATAGAGGTCCACAGGCGTAGGGTGAGGCAGAAAAATATATTTATTGGAGATCAAAAAAGATACAAAGTTTCGGCCTAGAGGCCTTAGTCAGGCTTAGACAGGGGTCTGAAGCTCTGTCTCTGAGCGGAGCCCCACTTGAGCTGGCACAGAAATCAAAAGAGCTCCCTGCAATGCCGTGCCCTCCCTTACTACATAATTTCATTTTTTTTAGAAAACTCCAGACAAAAAATCTATGCACAGATCTGTGAGTGTATCGAATATTTGTGTCATAACTAAACCATTATTCTAATGTTTTACGGAAAATAAACATGGTGAGAAGGTTTCAGCTTTTACATAATAGGATGGAATTTACAAATAAACATTTATACAGTTCAAATAAAGTCAACTCAGTTGTCCAGTCATTGACACCATCTTATTAACCACATTCAAGGCTAATTCCGACATTAACTCTAGCTTCTTCTATTAAACTGTATTTAGGATCTCATATAGTATGCTATTAAACCCCCATCTATGCTTTAGAGTTGACCTACCCCCTAATTGGACATGCTCATCTCGTTTGCACCCATTCAGAAGTTCTGATACTGTATCTAAATATCACTGTATCTAAATATTAAACAAATACACAAATATACCAACAATTAATGGCTATAACCCTTTCTGGATATAATATATATTCCATGAACACTTTGAAAGTATTCAAAACATAATTGTGACAAGCTGAAAGATTGTCTCTTGTAATTGAAGCGTTTACTAAGGTCTCACAAATCACTTGGCACGAAATTATTTTCAAACCAACAGCAAGACAACCTTGATACAACCTACAGACAGTAATAAACAAGCCAAAGTTTTCAAGAGGAATCTTTTTGTATCTCAGTCCAACTTCCTGTGTGTGGATCACCTTAACGGGAATAGGTCCAATAAAGGAATATGAATTTTCCCAAACTTTGGACAGCCTTTTAGATGAAAATGACCCCCACAGACCTCTGACAGACTATAAACCCCCAAGCTATTTTATTCCAAATTTTATCGATACTCCCCATGTCGATCTTTTTGTACAAATGTCACTTAAAGAGTTGGAAAACATGGACAATCAGACCTTATATCCCAGTAACTTAAGTTCTCTTGAACATAAAGCTTTAAAAGAATTACAACAACATTCTGACATTATAATAAAACCTGCGGGTAAAGGGGGTAATATCGTTCTGATGAACCGCCCTGAATACATAGATATGTGCATGACACATCTCGATGACAAAACGTTCTACAGGACTCTCCCTTCAGGTCCAACTACCCACTTTGTAAACGAATTGGTCACTCTCTCAATGATGCTTTGGACCAACAGGTGATATGTAAGGATGAATTTAGATTCTTGCTACCACATAAAAATCCTACTATCGCCACTTTTTACTGTTTACCAAAGGTACATAAGGGCAGTTGACCCCCTCCTGGTAGACCTATTGTGTCTGGGAATAATTGCCTTACAGAATCCTTGAGTAAATGTATTGATAAAATCCTGCATCCTATTGTACTGTCATTACCATCTTATCTTCAGGACACTAAGTCTACCCTCTTGACGTTACAGAATATGACGGTTCCACCTTACACACAACTGGCA